ATCGAGTCAAATGATAATAATGTTATAAGGTATAAGATGTAGACTCTAAATAATCATATATTTTCTTTGGTTTTTGTCAGAAAGAAAATGTGATCAAAGAAACGTCTCTTATCGAAATACTAAGTAAGAAACGATCATCGGGAACTTTAGATTTAGATAGAATTGCTTCTACTATTAAATCTCTGAAATTCATTAATTTAAAACAAAGCAAGTGGGTAAAGATGAAGTATAACGGTTTACTTTTAAAATTAGTTATTGTTTATATTGGAATTTAGTGTGTGGTTGTGTTTATCTGAAACATGTTAACGATAATATTTGTAAAAATAGAATAAAATTCAATTAAACACATTTTATTTGTATAGTGAACATCAACAATAATAATATAACTTTGTATAAATTCATTTGTAAAAATCATACATTCAGTTATATTCAGCTGTTTTATGATAATGAAATATTTTTCAATAGAACTTTGACTAGAATCAATCTGTTGTATAGAAAAAATAATTTATCTAAAACATCGTTGAAAATCAATATTAATACATTGAAACATCAAATAATTTATTGGAATCATAGTTATTTGCGAGGAATAATTAGACCGAACGACAATTATTACAACAGATTGTTGATTAATATCAATGATGATGGAATATCAAATTTAATTATGAATGAGAATATTATTCAATTAAATATGACAAATGTTCAAATTAGCTTTATGTGTATTGAAGACACGCTTAATAATATTATCTGTGAGAAAACTGGAATAGAAACACAGTCAATATGGAAACGAAATAATATGTGTTTAATAATCGAGACAAATTCAATTTTTCTAAGATTATCACATATTCGATTAACATAATATGATAGAATAAAAAATTATCGTCACGCACAAATCTATATTGTTGTGGAAATTATTTTTATTACTCTGCTTATATTGTTAATTGTGGGAATTGTTTATTATATGAAAAAAAATTGAAAAAATATGAACCTGATATTATAAGTATAGACTCAAATAAATCAGTTTTGACAACGAAAAGTTTTGATTATGGAGAATTGAGAACACCTACTCCATCATCATTACTTAGCATTATTGAAGAAGATGAAAGTAATGATAATAATCGTACATCACAATCAATGCGAACACAAAATAGTAATAAAAAAACAAAAGTGAATACTACTACTACTGTCAGTACAAATGTGACAAATAGGATATTTGCAAAATTATTTTCTTCGAATATGCTCGATTAATTCAGCCAAATTCAACTTCTTTTTTCCTCTCTAAATGAAAAAAATCAGCGCGCTTTGAGAACTAATTGTTCTAT